GCATACACACATATACACATTTGAGAGAGCAAAGAGCATCGAGAGAGAGAGAGAGCAAGGGAAACATTGAGCGCAGAGGGATCTTTTGTTCAACCATCGACCATCTCGGTCGAGCGCATAAAGCGAAATGATTGTGCTCTCGCATATTTTTGTAGTCCGACCCCTAAAAGTGATGAGCCGAGCAAATACGAAGTTGACTGGGAGATTACCCTCGAAAATAAGTGTGCAAAATACTTTACACTACGTGTCCGGTCTATGTGTTCTCTGGTTAGTGGTAGGACTTTATGTGGAACGTATTTATGTAGATAGCGAATCATCGATTAATTTAAGTGAATTGGAAATTATTCGATTACACATTGAAAGATATAATCAAACTTAATATACCGTTTATAAAAAGAAGTTTCAGTTGAATTTTTTAATGTAATAATTTGAAAATATTTACAATTACAAATATTAATAAGTGTTCTATTTCTCTATTTCAGCCAAGCGTTAAACAAAACACAAGTGCAATATGCACAAAGTGCGTATGCGATGTAGAAAACAGTCTAATTGATTGCACCAATAAATTGACTGACTGGTTTACTGACGAAGAATGGAAAAGCCTTCAAAATCAGACAATTGTTTTTGAGTCCATCAAACTGGAGCACAACAATTTGACAAGTGTTCCTGTCTTGCCATCCTATGGAGTGAAGAATCTGTATTTGGGCTACAATCAAATAGCTTCGATTACATTGGGAGCCTTTCAAAATTTAACGGAGCTTACCAAACTTGATTTGTCCAATAACAAGTTAACTTCAAAAGCTTTATTACCTGACGTATTTAAAGGTCCATATTCCCAACAGGATTTTCAGCCTCTGAAAAACTTAAAATCACTTAACTTGGGATACAACCTTATACATTCTTTAAATGATGATTTGTTTGAACATCTTCCACACCTTGAAGAGCTTAGTTTGTGTTCAAATACTTTTCAAATTATCGATAGGCTAACGGAAACTGCAGTTGCTGGATTGTCTGCCTTGAAGGTAAGTACTGTATTATCACTAAGTCACTTTAAATATGTTGATTAATTAATTAAAAACGTTCAGGTCTTGGATATGTCATTTATGGAACTTTCCACCTTGCCCGATACAATTTTTCATGGACCCCGCGATCTCGATACTCTGATTTTAACAGGAAATTTGTTTAAACAGGTGCCAAAAGCGTTATCGTTCTCCAAGAACTTAAAGCGCCTTGTTTTAGATGAGAATCCTATTGGAAACTTGGAAGGAGAAAAGTAAGCAAACTTTCACTTAAAATTTTATATAATTCGAACAATGTTCCTATTTTTGTTTTCAGTGTTTTCCCAGCAATGACTTCTTTGAAATATTTGAGAATGGCATATATGTTAGATATATACAAAATTGGACCTGGTGCCTTCAGCGAACTACAAAGTAAGAATATTTAAGCCGATGGCTTACTAAATCAAATACGTATATAACATATCTTGTATTTTGAACAGATCTAACAGAATTGATACTGAGTGACAACAAAATGTTAACAGAACTCGATTTACACGCTCTGTCAAAGAATGTTACCGGAGGAGACTTTTTGGACTACCCTCCGCTTGATAAAGTAAATGAAAATCCTATAATTAATATGCATTTCTCACTAATCATGACACATTTCAGCTATACCTAAATAACTGTAATCTAACAACGCTGCCAAGAGAATTTTTAGTTCGCTGGGATAAGCTTAGCGTGCTGGATCTACGCTTTAACCCATGGGACTGCAATACCTCCAACGAATATATGATCAAATACTTGATTCCAAGAGTAAACAGCACCACGCCACTTCTAGCAAAGAATGTGAAGTGCGCATATCCAGAGGAGCTAAAAGGCGTGGAGGTCCTAAAAATAGCAAATGGGGACTTTGAGTCAGCAACACAGGGGAGCAGTCTTGTTTGGATTGGCATCGTCATTGCCATTCTATTAGCAATACCTCTTATTTTAGCTGGAATGGCAGTCTATAAACGTGGCCATTGTCGCTTGTGTAGGAAGAATGAAGCCGCGAATAGGACGCTTTATAGCCGTACAAGTTTCAATGAAGATTTTCATATATAATATGTATATATATAAATCACAATTTACATGTTTTGTCAAAATAATCAATTAAAATTTTTATACAAATTAAGAAATTTGTAATGAAACTGGCGAAGTGGGCTAAAGGACAGAGTCCTCAACGCCTTACAATGCTAGTCACAGAGCAAATAGTTATGTAATTATGGGATCTGATAAAGAGGTTACGAAGACGATTATTGCAATGTCAATTATGGTGAACAATAAAACCTATATTTGTAGTCATTCATCTTATATCGGCGCAGATTTCATTTCCGGTAAGAGTTCGTGAAGTATATAAAGAACATTTCTTTTGAAATACAGGATGAGATTTTTTATGATTTTAGTTTGCTTTTTTGTAAATCGGTATTTTAGTTTAATATATTTTTATACTTTTAAAAAGTAATTTAATATTTTGTTCGTACAATAACAAGCACAGACCATAACATAATATTACGAGCTCTAGGTTTTAAATCGATCTTTGATAAATTAATTTGTTCGCTATGTTAATACATAAATATTTGACAAAAACAATTAAAGATTATTTGCTAACTTAATGTGCGAAATAAATACATATTTGTAAGTTAATAGATTTACAGGTCTTTTCAGTTGCATTTGACTTTTCTTACTCCTTCAATACCAATAAAATCAACAATGCCTATATGCGCATGATAAACTTGGTCTTTCGTTTCTTTAACATGTACAATGGATTTAAAATACTGTTATCTATTTTTAGTGTTAACTCTATTAATTTGTGTCTTTTTTTATATTTTTTTTGTTTTAGTTTATAAGGTCAACATTGGTATATACCAAAATATAAAGTTCGATTAGTTGATTACTGATTTATAAGTCAGTACAGAGAATTGTTCTATTCAGTACATAGATGCTTCTATCGGTGCTCTTAAGTTGAAAACTTATTCATATAGAGAACATTATTAGTTATATACGGGCATACACACACAAAACAAGTAAATAGCATGTAAATAAATATATGTATTTCATATTTTGAACAATATCACTGCAGCAATAGTGCCGAGTATATTGATTAATATACACGTATAACTTCGATGTGCTTCCGTTGTAGTTTTCTGCTTTTTTGCTGCATAATTTTTAAGGAATTCCAGAGCTCAGCGCAGCGCCAATTTGTTGTTTCTGTTGCTGTTGATGAATGAGATTGACTCGCGCCCTTTGCTGCTCCAGGCGCTGCACTGTGGCAGTCAGATGCGAGTTCTCCACATACAAATCCTTCACAAGAATATCGGCGTTCTGCAGACGCTGTGTCTGATCGGCAATTAAAACGGCTTGTGCTTCGATGCGGCTATGCAATTCGTTGAGATCCACTTGATGCTGACGCCACGATTCTACAAATAGAAATGATCAAAGATTAAACATAAGTCGAACATTGATAAAGTGGGCTACGCTTACGCTGCATCAGGGACTCGGTATATTTTTGCTGCTGTTTAACTACATTCTGTAAATGACGATTGCGCAACTCGAGTTGATTAAGTCGCTGCTGAAGTGTCGGATGTGTAGTTCGCTAGGTAAAAATATAGAAGTCTGATAACAAGATTGCAATCTACAATAATCGCAATAATCTTTACCGCATATGCCTTCTCGAGAACGGGACGTGCTTCCTGCAACTGTTGCAGTTCCATGACTAAACCGTCACGTTGCAGGCTCAGATCCTTGATCTGCTCCTTGAGCGAAAGCTCAAAGAACTTGAGACGCTTTAATTCCTCCTTAAGGACACTTGGGCTATTGCATTTCTCGTTGCTTAAGCAAGAGGCTTTACTCGTCGACACAATACTTCGCGAGTCAAAGCTCTTGTTCGATGCTGTTGACGATGTCTCGCTATCAGCGATTTCGCCCTCAGACGGCGGCGATTTGGGCTTACAAATGGGCGCCGGCGTGCAAATACTGACCGACGAAGCATATTTGGTGTCAGTATTTGTAAGCGAGGGGCTCGATGGCGAAGTATCAACTGGCGTAGTACTAAAGATGGATGTTGTAGAAGTAGTAAGGTTGTTTCTACAAAGTAAATTCTAATTAGCTTGAGTGCAAGGGCCATTGGCAAAGGGTAAATAAAAACGAAAAACAGGCAACATCAAGAACACAACACAAAAATCAATGGGCTCGGAAATCAAAATGATTATTAACAAGCACGCATAACGTGAGCTTATCGCTCTTTAATTGCCACTTCCACAGCCAGCTATAACCAGTTTCTTTTGACCACGCCCAATGCATTAGCTCTGGCTCACTTACCCTAGTTTATCAACCCTTAACCAATTTTCTAATTAATGTAAAATGTTTGTTACATATCAGAGCCAATAAATGGTCTTTGTGTCTTTTAAAATATTTTCCCAAAAGTTTCTTTACATTAGTAGTCTTTAGATACATAAAGAGTCTTTAATTACAGTACAGCACTAATATAGAAGACCGTAAGCCCCTGCGCTACAACCGTGCCTCCCATAGTGCCGCTGTACCAAAATTTTGCATACATAATCTTGTATAGTCTTTATTATATTATATTGAGCTATATATTCTAAAATAAAAATGTAACTCCCCATTTTCCAAACATGTATTTAAATTTAATTCTACTCCTCTAGATATGGGCGATATATACATATTTATATTTTTAATGATAGCATTTATAAAAGTGCAATGTGCAAATCATACTCTACATTTCCGAAAAGTTAATAAAAAAAAAAAAAGAGACAACAGATAATAGGAAAATGCAGGGTGTTTTCAAGTCATTCAAAAACAGGCAAACACGCAAACGGTTCTATTTCATTTATTTAATGAGTCGAAAAAAAAAAACCAAGACACATTCATTCATACACTTATGACTACATGATCATTTTTTATTAAGATAAGGTGAGACATACACATACACAGAGTGATTGCAAAGCATTCAGAAAAGCCGATTCATTGGGTGCTCAAGTTGTACTTACCGGCTGGTCGCTTTGTGAGTTGGCGATTCGCCAAGCAGAGCCAAGACCTTGGCGCTGTTTTCCTCGCTGGCACCGTCAAATGTTTTCAGCGGCTCCTGGATTGTGCTCTGGTGCCACAGGTAACTGATGGGTGAGCTGGCAGGCCTTTGGCCCGACTGCCCACTGATCTGCTGCAGTGCATCAGAGTTGATCTCACATGCACCAGTTAGGATTTCCACGCTTTCGCCTAGACGTGTACGCAAATCTTCGATCTCGCTCTGTAATGCGCTAATCTGTTGAGATTTCTCCTCTAGCATGCGAATTGAGTTGCTCCGCAGACTTGCGGCCTCCGCCTCGAGCTCCACGTATTGCTGTTCCAGCATATCGCGCTCATCGATTGGCGACAGCCGACCATCTTTGCTGAACTGTTCCTCATATTCGCGCACCTTCTCCATCAGCTCCGTGAACTTTTTGTCACTTTCCAGCTGCTCCTCTTCGTATATGTGGCGCTCTTTGTCAAACATCTGCCGCTCCTCGCTTAGTTTGGCCTGCCAGTAATCTTCGCAGTCCTCGTAAGCTCGCTGCATTTGCTCTAAACTGCTCTCTAGCTCCTTGCAGCGTGTCTCCGGCGACGTGGCACGGCTGCTGCTCTCCGTTGACTTGGCAGTTGCCGCCTGCAGTTCTTGCTCCAACTGCTCTATGGTTCGCCGTAGCGACGCAATCTCTTCCTCATGATTCTTACAGCGTTGCAATTCTGAATTGAGCGCTAGCCAATCGCCGCTATTATCACTAACCTCGCCTGCCTCCGAACACTTGCGCTGTTTTCCCTGCCGCGGGCTTTCCCCAGTTATGTGCGGCTTGCTTGGTGAGTCACCTCGCCGTTTCGTGGCCAGCGCAACGCCAACAGCCTCCAGCTCTTCGCCTTCGGTTGACTCCGCAGCAGACGCATTCGCAGCAGTAGGAGAAGCAGCTTGCTTTTTTCTAGACTTTGTGCGTGCCAGATCAACGTATAAGTTCTCGATTTCCATTGTCAGCTCATCAGTTTTGTCGCGCAGCTGTGCGTTCTCCATTTGCAATGCAGTCATCTTCTCCATAACGTGCAGCATTTCATCATCGTCAGTGGACTTATCTCGCCCAATGACAGCATGATCGTTGTTTTCTGATTTCGTTTCGGACCGAATGGGCTCGGACATGGCCAATTCCTTGTTCAACTTAATGTTTTGCTCCAGTAGCTCAGTCATTTGCAGATGGACCTTCTGCTGCTCCATCTCCAGTTCGCTATTTTCAGTGCGCACCAGTTCTAGCTCAGTCTTCAGCTTAATCTCCTCTTGCTCGAGGCTCTTAATCTGAGCTTCCAATTTTGCTGTCATGCTGGTCCAATGGTCACGATCGCTTGTAATACGCTGCGTCAATTCGCGCACCATACTCGCATGCCGTTGCTCCAGCTGTTGCACCTCCTGCTTGCAGTTGTCCTCCAATATGGCATGCCGCTCATCCACCTCGGCTGCCAACATCGCCACGCGCTGATTGGCCGCCTTGTTATCGGATCGCAGTTTCTGATTCTCCTGATATTGCTGACGATATGCCTGACGCAGCGAGCCTAGTTCAACAGCTTGCAGCGCTATTAGCGCACGCAGCACATTCGTATTTGGATCGTGCTCCAGTCCACGCAATTCTTCCTCAAGCACTTTGGTCAACTGATTAATGTTCACCTCCTCATCCTCATCGTCGAAGCCCAGGGCATGCAATAGACCCACACTATTAACGATATTCGCCATTTCCCAGGTCTCAATGAGGCTGTGAGCACTGATCGTTTCCAGTTGATGTGGCGTCATCATTTCTGCAAGCATGAAAACTATTAATATTATATTTATTATAAAAATATATTTACTAATAAAGCGTTAGCAGTTGAAATCCATAATAACAGATGACAGCTGTTTGCCAAAACTATAGATTTCGCCAGTCTCTTTAAAGCTGGATAAGCTATTGCTATCTATGATCAAATATTCCTTTTGCTTCTTGAAACATAGTTAATGTAGAGTAAGACTTTCTATACACTTATATTCATATTCTGTCTTCTGGCTTTTCAACTGCATCTCAAAAATATCCACATATGCATGCATTTGCAATAATTGTAATTTGGATCTTGTTCCAAGTGTTATATAGTGAGAGACCACACACATTGCGTTATTTCACTCTGCACTTACCCAGCGATTCCACGCTACTGCACTCCTTTTGTGCCTCTCTAAGATTACATTTTTTGCTGCTATTACCGACTTGCGTACCTACTGTCGAGGACGTTGTGGCGCTCGTTGTTGCTGATGTTGTCATCATTTTGGAGTGCATATTTTTGCGTGCCGGTAGCGAGGCGCACCGCTTGAGCTTGCTCCCACTGTAGTGGACGGAGCGCAAGACTCGACTGCCAGGAAGATCGCTTTGTGAGGATGAGCGTTGCACCTAAAAGAAAACGAGTTGATTAATAAACAAAAATTGGCAATCATTTGATGTTGGCCATCGTCTTACTTGCACGGTGTGATCGCTGCAGCCGTTTAGGCTCTTGTGCTGATCCTCGTCCGTATTGTCCGAGTCCGTAACGTCGAGACCTAGAATCTGATGTGGCCGTGAGCGACGTCCATATTTCTTGGTGCCCACTATCAGTTTGGGAGAAACCTCACGATCGGAAGCGTCGCCTTCAGGCTGTATCTCAGAGTAGAATTTGGTAGCTGACTCGTCACTAATCACCAAGGAACGTTCTGTAAAAGAGCAGAGGAATATTAGTGATTTACTTGATTTATTCTCTTGCGGTGATTCTCTCTACCGAAACGAGCCGCCAGCTTTTCAATAATAGGATCTGCGCAGCTCTTGCGCTGCTTATAATATAATCGAGTGCCCATTCTGTCACTTTGAGCGACTAATCGAAACTGATGTGCAAGCACTCAGTGACAAATGTATTTAAGTGCTCAATTATTGTTACCTGACCAAGCAATCAACATGCTGCGAGCTGCTAATCCTGCTGCACCCCTCATAAAAAGTGTAATGCAGGCACACGGAACATTTTATGACTGCCAGGTGACGATCTTAGTTAGGTAAATTTGCAGCTTACCTTTAAATCCAGATGCTGTGCTCAATGCGGACCGCGACGAGCTCTCGAATTCGGGGCCCAGAAAGTTCAGCAGCGCCACTTTAAATTGTTCGAACGAAACGCCCAACTTGGAGCTGGGACTGCTCGCAGTTAGGCTGGAGATCAGCGCCGAGCCCTGGTCACGTAACTGGAGCAGCTGGCAAAGGCGTGTTAGTGAGACTTCGTCGAGCAGGCCATTGTTACGATCTGATGTCTCACAGCTCTGGAACATCTGATACAATTTCTGCTCGTATGGATCATAGGGATCGGCCGATACTTCCATTATCTAAGCGCTGCTGCTGTGTGTGTGTGTGTTATCCGTAAGTTCAGTTTATGGCCGTTATCTAATTGTTTATATATATGAGGGCTTGATTAATAACCAAAAGAGACGTTCAATATACAAGACATGTCAATTAAATAGCTATTTGATGAGCTAAGCTCGCGTTCTATATTATATGTTAGCAAAAGAATTTCCAATCCACTTTTCTATGCGACTAAATAATGTACAACGAATAAACCTATAACGCTATAAAGCTTTTAGAAAACGAACAATTCTTTGAAAATTAACCAATATTTAATAATAGACATGCTTGCAAATTAAATATAGCAATTAAAAATTCAAATTAGATTCACTCTATCTTGTGCTGCAACACTAATATGTTTGTATGTATGCGGGTAAATACATACATGTACATACTTTTTTCATTTGTATAATTCATAAATGTTTTACAATGTATGGGATCATTGATATGAATTCTTCGGAGTATGATGAGGTTTTGGATTAATTCTGCATGGATATAACAATATGTAGTTATATAAATTTTATTGTATTAATACACTGTATTTATACATTTTAGGTGAAATCGATAAAGGCTTCCAGTGTGTTGTAGCTGTAAATTCAGCCTCGGTGTTTCAGGTGTATGTTTGTAGTATTAGAGTTAGTTGAGTATGTTTAATCAATAATTTGCACGTAAAAAGAACACAAAAGAAATATTGCACAGTCAACGATTAAGCATTAGACACTTAAATTTTTTTGTGGTTTGTGATAAAAACAATGTATTATAGCAAAAAGACTAAATCATAGGTGTAGAGAGGGGGCTGAGAACTTATCGATATATTTCGATGTAACTAACAACAGTATTTTGATTTACCAATTATGCCGATTCCATTTTGTTCCTAATAAGCAACTTCAATTAAGGCTGTGTTGCCAATATATTTATATATATAATCAATTAATTAATGAAAGAGATTTGCTGTAATAGTAAATTAATTGTAACCAAAAATATAGTTTTAAAATAAAATAAATGAGACCTGACGGAATTTGAATATATTTCACATACGTAGAAATAATATATTATGTGGAATATTTTGTAAATTCTATTAAATATTATAGCATACGTAATCTATGTTTTATTAATTTTTTTACATGGAAGTAAGTTCTGAAAAAAATAGTCGCTAAATGCATATTTTGTCTTTAGTACTTCAAGCTATTAATCTATGGTTAGTGTATGTGAGCATTCAATCATCAACAAGGATAGTTTATTATCTACTAATTTTAAATAATTGTCCAATCAATTTACATGTGTTTTTACAACCAAGGTAGAAAGCAATTAATTCATATCTGTTCTTTAATATTATTGTAAATTAATTTAGTTCAATTAGGTATATTATAATATAATGCAAATTCTGGCTTTGTTATTATTAAGTTTTTCTTATAGGAACACCCCTCATATAACTTATTGAAATATACCAGTGCTGCTTATAGTGTTATCGGTTAGCCGCCATGAAACAGAAACGATAGCTTATCAACTCCAGAGCGACATAAAAAACATTAAAATAGAAGTAAATTTTTGTTGAATTGTTGAAAGTTATTGAGTGTGATCGCAATAATATTATAAAATATTTAATTGGACTGCAACAAAGTATTTAGATTGACTATTAATTGACGTTAAAATATATATACACCCCCACCTCCGCTACGGCCTCGGTCAAAGAGCATTGTAAATAATTTTGTATTATTACGAAACTTGGGTGTACAAATGCAAATGCTCTTAAAGTACAGCTAAGGTCTAGATCCCACTCTGGCTGCACATCCATCAGCATGGCCATGCATTCATATATGCGAGCCAACCCGAACCAAACCCAAACAAACAGTGTGAATGTGAATTTGAGTCCCGACGAGGTGAACAACTTCCTAAAGGACAAGCAGGCATGGGAACACGCAATATCGCTTTACCAGGGACCTGATCCGCTGGATCACTGGTACAACTACATCTGCTGGTATGAAAACCATGCGCACAGCGACCCAGATCGCAAATTTCGCGAAACACTTGAGCGCTGCCTCACAGTCTATGAGCACGATGATTACTACAGGCAGGACGTGCGGCTAGTGCGCCTATGGCTTAAATACATTGCCATGCAGACTGATCAGTTACGATTCTATCAGGTGCTCTTCCAGCGCGGCACCGGACGCCAGGTGGCTGCATTTTACATAGGCTGGGCCAGTTACTACGAGGCGCACGAACAGTTTAAGGACGCCGAAGCAGTATTTAATCTAGCTTTTCAGGAGAAAGCCCACAGCAGTGACGAGCTTCAAAGTGCCCATGCCAAGTTTACCTACGGCCGCTCAATGTATTTCCAGCAGCAGCAACAACAGCAACAAGTGCAACAACTTCAGCAGCAGCACCAGCAACAGCAACAACATCAGCACCAACCGCCGCCTCCCCATGATGCACTGCAGCAGCTAACAGCGTACACACAAAGTCATCACCAGCAACAGGAGCATCAGCACCAGCATCAGCAGCCAGTCTATCCTCATCCTTCTCCAGCCACAGCAGTAAGAGCCCATCATATGCATCAGGAGAACTTTCATCAATATCAACAGCATCCCCAGGAGCTCGCCTATCTGCCCCATATACATGGCCAACAGCCACAGCAGCAACAACAGCCACCGCCACAGCCAACTCACTACCAGCAACAGGAACAGGTAACGTTGAATAAATCTCATTTAAAGTGCATCACTCAGCTCATCGAGTCTCTTAAAACTGTTACAGCCGCCTCCTGCGGTGGCAGCACGCTTTGAGCAGCAGTTCCATCAGCCCGCACTTGCAGCTGCACCCAATCAAACGGTGGCACATCCACACTACTCACCCATCTTGCACCAAAATAGAGTATGCAACTTTATTAATGTCTCCCACATCTTAACTAAATTCTATTCTGCTCTTTTAGCCTGCCACAAACACATGCTATGGAGCACAACAAGTACAGGGACAGCTTGAGCAGGTGGCGCTGCCTGCCACCTCTAATGAGGCATATCCACAGCAACAGGCACAGCCTGTGGATTCTTTGACGGAAGTAGGCGGCGTGCGTTTGCCGCGTAATTTTCATGCTTATGGGCGCAACAATCACGAGACCTGGAAGCCGGCACTGACTCTAGAGGAGCCAGAAGATCCTTCGCGCGTCTGTCACTATGCTAAGCAGCTGGTTTATCCGGCCGGAGCAGGCATCGAATATAGTCCGGAAGAGCTGCTGGCCCGCAAGTATACCGAGCTGCTGGAGCAGCGCAAACAACTGGCGCAAGCGCCGCCACAGTCGGTAAATGTTAAAGTACAAGAGCCTGCACAGCATGAACAGCAACTAAAGAAGGAACCTACCTATCCGGCTGGACAGCAACAGCAGCAGCAGCAACTATACGATTCCTATCAGACAGAGAGATCCTACTATATGTCGGCGGTGAATGGTGAGCTCTATGCGCAACGCACTGAAGAAGCAGAGGAAGGAAATTCGGAGCCCGACGAGGAAGATGAAGGTGAAGAGCAATCAGAGGAGGAGTCGGACGAGGAGGGCTCCGATCAGCAGGACCACGACGCAGCGCCCGTCAAGCAGGAGTACAGCAATGGCGTTGATGGCACTATGCATTTCAGTGCCAAGACAACATTCGAGCAGCAGAATCGCTCCATCAAGATGAGGTTCAAGAAGGAGCACACGCTGGAGAGCAGCACATACAGTGCATATAAAATCGAGAGCATTTACCATCAGCAACAGGAGCTGCCTTCGCCGGCGCCCGAGCCTGTAGCAGTGCCTGCGCCGGCTCCTGCACTCACGCCCATACAAAAGCAGATCGCCTCGCCCAAAATTGTCCAGGACTGGAGTGGCGCGACTGCAGTGCCGCGCCAGCGCAACGGCAACCATCATTTCCATCCGTATATGCTGGGTCAGACCTCGACGCCAAAGAGCACGGCGAACGAGAGTCGGCGTGCACGTGCCAAGGCGAAACAGAGCAAGTTTCAGCGGGAGCTCTGCAGCAACAGCAACTCGTCCTGCTCAGTGCCCGATCAGGTGGCGAATGGCTTGGACACTGAAGCTGCTGTGGCGCCCATACACAACGCGACCTTCAATGACAACGCCAACTTCTCGTTCTCCAGCGCCGGTGGCCATGACAATTCGAACAACTCGCTGGCGCTGGCCGTGGATGGACTGCATGTGCGTGATGCCTCGCACCTGGCTTGCGGTGCCAACAACAAATCCCAGCATGCCAATAATAATAATAACAACAACATGACGACGACACAAAACGCCACAAGCAATGCGGACTTTTCCACATTTCAGGAGAATTCGTATTTCGCCACGCAGCACGACTCGGAGGCACAAGAGCGTCGTCTGTCCAAGGCCCTGGAGACCATCGACCGTCATATGGAAAAGGTGGCCATTGATCCATTTAACAGTGAACTCTGTCGCGCCTTCTTGACCAAACTGAATTTCCCGGGAGACAGCGATGAGCACGCCAGCTACAAAGTGGTGCAGACGCTACTGCCAAAAATCTCCAATACGCGCACTCTCAACGTGCTGGACAGCGTGCAGTTCAATATCGACAAGGAGGTGGGCCGCGGCTCCTACGGATCTGTCTACAAGGCAACCGATGCGCGCTCCGGCAACCTGGTGGCACTCAAGTACCAGAAGCCCCCAAATACTTGGGAGATCTACATATGTGATCAGGTGAATATTCTCTTCCGCTTGGCAATCAATATTTGATTTAATTAATACGGAATTCGGGTATTGTTATGTATAGGTGCTCCGCCGCGTTCGAGATCCTCAGGTGCTGCCTGGACTGATGGACATATCAACGGCGATAATAGCGCCGAATGCAAGTCTAATTGCCACCGAGTTCTCGCCCTTCGGTTCGCTGCTGGACATCAACAACAAGATACGTCAGGCCACCACGAAGGTGATGCACGAGTCCCTCGTCATGCACTTCTCGGCACAGATCTGCAACATTGTGGATCACTTGCACAAGCAGCACATCATACATGCGGACATCAAACCGGACAACTTTCTGCTGATGCGTGTGCCGAGTGTGGACAATCCGGAGCCTTCGTTGCGGCTGATTGATTTCGGTTGCGCCATCGATCTGTCGCTCTTTCCCGATGGCGAGCGCACCAAGTTCCGCAAGGTGGTGCAAACAGATGGCTTCACGTGCATCGAAATGCAGGAGGGACGCTCGTGGTCCTTCGAAACGGATCTGTTCTGCATTGCCAGCACGGTGCACGTGATGCTCTTCGGCGAATACATGCAGCCGGAGAAGCGCACGACCGGCTGGGAGATACGGCAGAAGGTGCCACGATATCTAAAGAAGCACGTCTGGTCCAAGTTCTTCTGCGATCTGCTCAATATGCAGGCCGATAAGCTGCCGCAGCTGCAGCAGATGCGCGAGATCTTTGAAAAGGAATGCCGCCTCATGGACTCTGAGCTACAGAAACAAATACGCACACTCTCTAACATTCTACATCGACGATAACCAATGAGAGCTTTCTCCTCATCCACATTACTATCATTTCAATCGTTGTGCACTCGAGCTAATTTCGTTGTTTATTTTTAATTTTCGTTTTTTACTTTGTTTTGAATATTCTGATAACAATTGAAACTCTTTAGTTTTGAGTACGCTCAGTTTAGTACGGATTAAGAGGTGTTATTAATTATGCTCACATTTCATATATGATCTATCTATATTGACTACGTTTAGATTTCAAATATGATCTTGAAATCGAAACTGACTAAAGAAAATGGATACTTTCATATAACTTTTCTAAGCATGG